CCCCGGGGCCCACCGGCCAAAATGGAGGCGGCGCGGTGGCCGCTGGGCCGGGCCGGGCCGGGCGCAGGTGCGGGCTGGGCCCGGGGGACGCGACCCTCCCGGGCAGGCCGGTGTCCCCGGCGGGGTGCTGCGGGAGAGGCGGGGAAAGGAGTCCCTCAGGGTGCAGGGCCGGCGGTTTGCCCGCCGGTGAGTCCGTATGGCCGCTCGAATCCGTGAGCCCGTGATGGCTTCTACAGAACCGGGCCCCGGCCCTGGGTCGCTGCAGCTTGTGGAGCAGGTGGGGAAAGAAGCCGGGTCTTAACGGCCGGTCAGAAGCCTCCTTCGCGGAGTTAACAACAGCCTGATAACTCACCCAAGTTCGCAGAGTGTTGATTAATAACGCTCGCTGGAGGAGAATGGTCACATTGGCTACCTCAGTCTTTCATGAGTTTCAGGCCTTCAGGGCTCCCGCAGGTAGCGGGTGGGTTGGAGGCTTTAGCTGAGCCGTCTGTTAGCACAGAGCATCACTGCGGCACGGACACCCCCAGCGCATCCCAAAACCGCCCGGGGACCAGGTCCCTCAGGGAGAGGTCACAGAATTGTTCCACGATGGAGCTGAGGATGAACCCTGCTCTGCCAGCCCCGGTCTGCCGTCCCAACTTCACCAAAGCACACAGGGCTGGTTTGTTTTTTTAAAAAAAAAGCTCATTCCAGTAGTCATCATTCTTTCTGGACAAAAAATGGTGCAGTTATCCATTTCACTGCAACCCACGAAAAGGTGCTCTGGAAAGTAATTGTTCATCATGGGGCACATTTTATTTTTAAAAATGTATGTTAGAACAGTTTGACTATTTATTTTTTTTCCCAAAGCAAAGCTGGGTCTGTTTAGTTTTATAGCAGAGGGAATTTAGAATAGCAGTGAATAGATACACACCTGTCAGCTCTTCAGAAATAAAACGAGACTGAGCATGCAGGGATGGAGTTTGTTTATTCTTTTCATCTGTTGTCACCTTCTCTTCTGCAATTGATTTTAAATGAGGAGGAAGTGAACTGACAAATACATGCAGTCTCATTACGGTGTCTCATCTTTCCTGATAACAGCGTTAGTAGGTTATGGATGAAGTCCATAAGAGCAGGCACGTCGATCAGAAAGTCAGAAGTCCTCTCGCATACATTTACAACAAACCCTGCAGTGTGGACTAAAAATGGAGCGGTTTACACTGCTGTTTTCTCAGGTATGTTCTGGATTGCACCCTTCATTGGTGACTTACCTGTTCGTTTGGGTTCCTATTCCAGAACGCAAGTGCAGAATATATAAAAAAACCCCACCAAACCAAACCAGAGGTATAGAGAGAGAGGAAGAGAGATTTAGGCAGAGCTTGAACACGGCACAATAAATGTGAATGATTAACAGGCAAAGAAAGGAGGAAGGCTCAGAGCAGAGGACAAAGGTTATAGTGATATATGCAGAGGAGCAATCCGGAAAGCTGTATTCTTTGGGAAGGTAGATTTTTTTTAAAAAAAACCCACATTTTTGGAAGGGATTTAAACTAGGAAAAGGACTTGACTGGTTTGGAGGCATTTAGGTGCAGCCAAAAAGTGATCCAGCAAGAGGCAAAGAATAAGTCTATACTAGTTCTATGTAGAACTATGTATTTTATCTGTGTTCTTAGATCTCTCCTGATGGTAATATGGGAAGATATTCCAGCAATATATGGTTGATGTAACTGCCACATCAGTTACTGCCACCTCGTCTACATTCATCTTCCCAGAGGAGTAGGTAGGGGATGTTTTTACTATTCGTATTGCAAGTAAGAAAACAGATGGACTATTTAAGAGGAGAGGACAGTCACGTAGGACAGGAAAAAGAACTTCAGTTTGATATGCAATTAATTGGGGGCACCGTCAGCTATTTTAAAAACGTATGGAGGGAGGGAGGATTTCCTGCTTGTAGTGAGGAAGCAACACTTGAAAACAGAAACATAAACTTCATCCTCTCAAATCTACTGGAAAAAAAAGAGCGGCACACTGTTTGGGAGAGTACAAGACTCAAATATGTAGTCACTATATACAAAATGAGAAAAAATTGATGGATGAATGCTTTATGCAGCTTTTCCCCTACCACTGGTGATATTAACATGGAACTAGAAGTATGATGCCACAGCTCAATATATAGATATTTTTAGTATAGCACTACACAAAACAGCAGTCCTGTTTTGTCTGGAGAGGCAAAATGTAAAAAAGCTGTCATGAAATTACCTTCTGCCTCATTAACATTTCTGCACACTCAGTTTTAGTACTTGGATTCCTAACTTTCCATGGCTCCATACGCACAATATATTCCATAGATTACTAGAGTAACAATTCACGTTTTGTTCTCCAAAGATGAAAAGACAGTAGGGCACACAATATGCATTCAGCCCTGAGTTCCCCTTACTTCCAACATTCCTTTTTTTTTCTTTTTTTTGCCTCCACATTTTCTTTTCAGCACAGTTCACAGTTGGATGTAGACAAAATCAGGTGTTATCCCTATGACGCAGATAAACCGGAGCAGGAAAGACACCCTTCCTCGTCTCGTCTTTTGGAGTGCGAAAAATAGTCGCTGGCGAGGCAACCCAGTGGTCAGGAGCTTCAAATGGGTTTGGACAGATGTCTGGAGGCTGCACAGCCCCATGACCTTCCCCACTAATCCCAAGTATTTCCTTCTCTTTATGTCTTCCTACAGGCTACCTCTTCTCTCCTCTGGTTCTCCCATTTCCTCTCCGTCTCTGATGCACCCTCTATCACCAGGAGTCAGCAGCAGGGTCGGATTCCGCTCCTGCAGGTGAGAGAATGAGATTATTTCCTCCTCCATCTCCTCTTCCTCTTCCCCCACTGCTGCCAACTCCTGCAGCAGTTGGTGTTTATTTCTTAAAGCCTCAGGTGCAGGAATTGTGTGATTATGCAGGAATTTCATCTTCCATCCAGGATAAAATGTCCCTAGCTACGGAAAACTCAGTGCAAAAGAAGTAATGATCCACCTTTGGACGTGGGGAAAAGGTTGCTTCAGTTTCTGAATGCTTGAGGTTGACAATGTGGGTCCCTCTCCTGGCTCCTGTTACAGGCGGCGTCATGCAGTGCCAGGTAGAGCCGACAGTCTGTACCTGTCCAGCCGGAGCACCCAGCTGTGGGAGTGGGAGGAAAGAGTCAGTCCCAAGCTGCATTTTTGTCTGAGCTGCGTGGGGTGGGAACGCTCATGCACAGGGCAGAGGCACAAGAAAAGGAAAACGAAGGCTGTGACAGCTCTGGATCCCTCGTGCCCACAGTGCTGCAGAAATACTAGAGCTCAAACAGTCTCTCTTTTTAATAAAACAACCTGTATAAACAGGACCTTGTGGAATGAGTATCAATTGATACTCTGATCTTCAGACCTTTTCCATGGCTGCATACTTTGGAGTTATCACTGTTGCTGTCCAGTTGACAGAAATACTGATAACCAGCGGGAGGAATGATTCATAATTATTAAAAGCCCAGAGGTGGTGTGAGGAAAGACATCTCTGCCTTAACTCACATGGAACAGTCACCTCTCACCTATATTTACTGAATCATTTGCGTGATCAAAACAACTGGGGCAAAAATAAGGTCCCAGCTTCCTACTATGGATTAGTTTAGCTTCGGAAGAAGGGTAAGTCTAAGTGTAATTTTTACACAGAATAGTTACAGAATTGATCTCATGCTAAGTCATTTACACAAAGGAAAGATTAAAAAAGGTATATATACCAGCATTATTTTGACTGACTTAGCTTCTGTGGATGCCCATGGGGTGGTGTCACACATGGAAAATTAATGGAAGCAGCAGCTCAAAGCACTATATAAGGATAGCACAAGTGAGTAAACTTAAGTTGGGGTTGTTTCACAAAATCAGAGGTAGAAGGAAAGAGCAAGAGAAAATTCAATTCTGTTTCAGGGATATCCAGCAATATATCAGAAGCCCAGTTTTGATTTTTACAGGTGCAGTCTCCTATCAGTCCAATGCTAGAGTATTTTCCCTTGCAAAAAATCTAGGCTGGGTGGACAGAGACTAAAAGAAAATGACTGTGAACTAAACATCTGAGGTATCAAAGAAGGACTATGGAAAAGTATATTCAAATATGAGCATTACTTGAGAGTCTGGCGACCTGCATGCCTATGCCACATTAACTGCTAAAGAAGACTCAGTAGCTTTAAGTATCTGCAACAGGGCGTGGAGTTTTTAGTCTTAGGAAATGTGCCCAAGTCCAGCCCAGTCCAATAAGCTTGGGCTTTTTCTGTGGTAGATACTGACTTGTGTATTAATCACTCACACTCCAGTTCCCAGCATCAATGTGTCATGGATCATCACTAAAACCTGAAGGATCAGGTGGAGGCCAAGGGTTAGGCCTGCGTGGAATTTATCATTTCTCACTACAAATATCTCTGGATCGGAGAGGAGGCACTGGGGGGGGTTCCTCTCTGCGGATAAACAGGGGGTGGTGGTTCCCAGAAGAGTGAACCAGTCACCAGCGATAAGACTATATCAACTTGAAAATGCAACAGACCAAACACTCAAGCGGGATAAAGTGGCCTGTGTACCATGCAAGGAGATTAAAAATATGCATATCATGTGCTGTTACTGGTGGTTACCAAACGGGGAGAACCTTTTATTAACTCTTTTGGAATGAATACTCTCTTTGTTGTTGTTTGTTGCATTTGCAAGGGGCTTTTGTTCCCGGATGTTTATTCTCAGCCCTGTAGTTCTTGTGTAAGTAGCCTTCCCCAAACGTGGTCATGGCTCTATGCAATGTTTAAGGGTGTTTTCAGGCTGCTTGGCTTGCTGGTTGTTCTTGTCAGTCACCTTCCAGCTTTCTGAACATGCACATATTCTTCTTGTGATTTCTAGACATAGTGTCCTCCGGCGACCCCGAGTTTTGCTGAGTTTCCCCTGGCTGGTAGGGTGTTTCATCGAGAGTGAAGACTCACAGTCTTCAAGAGGAAGATTTCCAGCTAAACCCTGGAGAAGCACTTTCCACTTGTCAGTGTCTTTCATCACCCTCCCAGCTCTCAGAGGTGGTGCTGATCTCCCCCCTGTCATCCAAGAGCAGCGAGAAGGAAAGTGGTCTCTTGAGATTGCACTCCAAATGTACCCCTGCATTTTCTGTTTCATTGACAATGTTCTCTCACACATTTTTGGGATGAGAGAACCACAAGTCAAGGCAGAGGCCTTTCCCAAGGGGCAGGACTCTTAGACAGACATAATTCTAGCAAACTCACTTCTTTCAAAGCAAGTGACAACACATTTGAATAAAAATATTTGACCCATTTAAAGTAAATCCTATTTACTTAGCTTGCATGAATAGAGTTGCTAATGTTAGCAGGAGGAAGATGAGCAGAATGTGGCACTACTACCTTCACTCTGCATTTGAATTTTCTGTATCATCACAGGCATTTTTCACTTAGAATTTGACAGACCTTTTCTAAAAGAACTACTTTTTTTTTTTTTCCCCCCAAAAAAACCCGGAAACCCCATAGGTGAGAGGCTGGCAGCAGTGACCAGGGTGGAACCATTGCCCCTGTAACACAGTTAGGAGCACGCAGTGGGATCTGCAGGATCCACGTCACAAACATACAGGAATGCACAGGCTCTGGACTCGAGCTCTGGTTGTCAGACCAGCGCAGCAGCCATGCTGTTGGTGCTCGGGGTCAGCTGTCAACACGCATTTGAGTCCCTGGTTGTATGCAACACCGTTTGACCTTCATCTCTAGGAAACTGTGTTTGTGTACCTGGCACTCTTTCTCTCTTGGGGCCAGCTCTTAACTCGAAGATTCGTAACTTGCCATTTCTTTTTTCAGGCTCAGTCTTTCTGTGGCCCTCAAAAATGGGAAAGGCAACGCCTTTTTAATTTTGTTGCCATTAAGATTCCCTGAGCCAACCCATCTTGTTTAGGACTTCAGCCAGGGTCTGCTCAAGAACCTGGGGCAATGTCCCGGATCAGACATAGCACTGCTGGAAGTGAAACAGGAGCTATGGATGTGATCTGCTCAGGATACTGTGTCGGTGCTATCCCTTGGCTCGGCTACTGCCAGCCAGATTTGCAGAACCGATAGGAAAGTTAGCAGAGCAAGGCAACCAGGGCTGGGTTATTTTTATTACACTCCATTTCCTCGCAGCTGGCCAAAATAGTCAGGACCTTCCAAATCTGGCCAGCTCGAAACGCAAACAAAAGCTGAACATGAGGCTGGGGCAGTGTCTTCTGGTTAGTAACCCATCCTCTTCATCATGCCCCATTTCAGCAGCAAGAACCTATGGCCCAATGTACACACTCAAACCAGAAGTGCCAAGCAAGAAGATCTCAAGGGGAGTTAACATCTCCAGAACCCCAAGGAAGACATCATGTGGAGCAGTGGGGTCATGCACAGCCAGGAAGCCCCCAGGACAGCGGGGGCTGCAACCAGGGCCCCATCGGGTCCTGCAGACCAGGAGGACTGTTGGGAGCTGCTGAGGTGAGCCCAGCCTTCACCCCTGGGCAGTCCTTGGGGGTCCTGGTCTCCTGCTATGTCTCTTTTGTTGATCTCCCCACAGAGAGTCCTGAGCCAGGGACAGCAACGCGCCCAGCCCCTGCAAGCTCAGCCTTTGTAAGGAGAGAGATGGTCTTGTTCAAGGAGCTGTTACTGGTACCAGTAAGCTCACTGCAGTGGCTGCTCCCTGCCTGCTTACCCTGCCATCTGCTCAAGAAAAACACCACTGAAACTAGTCTTGGGCCATTAACTTTGCCTGATGCTCCAACACTGGGATTCGGGCTTTCTGTTAAAGGCGGTTTTCCAAAGGGGTAGATAATTGCTCTTCATTCTTGAAATTAAAATAAATAAATATATCTTTCTTGTTATATATAATTTTCTTGCATAATTTAGAATGTGTTTTCCCTCTTCTCCACTGCCTGGGAGCGTGGGGCAGGGACCCAGCACAGCATCTGGGAGGCTGCTGCAGTCCCCTGGCTGAGATGGACACCCTCATCAGCTCAGGTGCTGCTGGAGCTGGAGGGAGGCACAGCTGCCCATCCATCACAGCGAAGAAATGCCTAAAGCAGCATGTGCTTAAGGTAACCACCTCCCAGATGGTCCTTTACTCAGGACATCCCAATATTTTGCTAGTTCTGGAGCAGCGCTTTGGGCTTAGGTTTACCCTGAGAAGCCAAAGAAATGTTTACCATTTTCTGTAACAGAAGCGGAGTTTAAATGAATTACTGTAATGATATCTAGGGACTGTGTTTCTGAGATTTTACCACATGTAAACACAATCATAAGCATAATCAATGTCAATGACTTCCATTTAATTCCCAGACAAAGTTTGCTTTTAAATACCACACCAGATTTGACATGGCCAATGATAAATGGAATGCAATTAGTTCTACTATTTGCTTTGATGATATGCTAAATTATTTCTTACAACAGACCATTTATTATCCAAAGCTAATGGTTATACTCTTGCATTTAACAAGTCTAATATATCATAAACCATGGCAAACTGATAAGTTTCAAATTGAGATACTGAAGTCTAGAAAAAAAGTCATTCATTGAATTAGTTTCATCTAATAAATCCTTGTCAATGCCTGAGTCATCACAAAGAGATCTTAAACTGTAAGAATTTTGTATGGATTACTCATCAATACATAAATAAATAATAATAAAAAAACTTAATTATGCAGCCTCTTAGTGATTTACAGTCACTTAATGAATATATAATCTTAAGGAAAATGTCTGAAATTAAATGTTCTTATGGCATTTTTAATATAAAGCCTCTTCTAATTGTTAACAAGACAATGATTACTTTTTTTTTTTTCCCCTTGAAATTTATCATGAGCTTATCATGGTAATTGGAAATTAATGAAGAGAATAGTTCCTGAGAATACAAATAGGGGATCTTAGGAATTGTTAGCTCTCACACTGCCACAACGCTTGCCAAGGAGCTTATTCAACTGCTTTGCACTCTGTATTTCCATTATCACCCCTTTCTCTCAGTATGTGCCTTCTTCGTGTGGACCTAATCCAGCTGAGGAATGTAAGTGCCTTACAAAATAAAAAGCTGAAAAGAGGTAGCCGCAAAGCACCTGATCCCCGAAATCATATTTTAGCAGAAAACATAAGTGCCTGGCCTTGAGGAAAAGTGTCTTGCCCAAATTTTACCATTTCTGCAAGGTATTAAAGCTACCTTGTGAATGTGAGGCTTTGATATTTCGATGCCTGTTGAAATTCCACAGTGACAAAAGCAGGATACACAAAAAATACCAGATCTCCAAGACTGTGGAAAGTCTTCCAGGAGAGTTTACTGCTACAGTGGAAAGAATGTTGAGCTTTCTAGTGTGGCACACTACACTGACAGCCTCAAGTCTTTAACAAAAAAGGAGCAACACAATATTACCAAAGGGACTTTAAAAATTCAACTGTAAGATTTATAAAAGAAATAATTTCTTCATATTTTTCACCCATATTCAAATTTCCTCCTGCCATGAAAGGACAGGTCTGTCCAACCTTGATTTGTTTTATTCCCGACTTCAAAATAATGCAGGCACAGCAAATTCTGATTGTCACTTAGAGAAAATTCTTTCCTTCCATAACATGAGAGGTCAATTTCCCTCATGTTCCTTCTCCCTTCTATTTATCTAATTCCCAAGGGATTTTTTCTTATCCTAGTACCTTCCCCCATTTTCTGAGCTCCATGTTTACTTGCTCTTTGTTGTGCAGGGGTCTCTTCTCAGCAGTTTAGTCCCCCTGAAGATGATAGGAAGAAGTGATCAACAGGGATAAAGGCAAACTCAGAAAATGTACCAGCATTTCATGATGAACACTTAAAAATACCCCAAATACTATATTGTTCTCAGTAAAATCCTAAAAATGAGCAATGATCGATTGTCCCTTCTGCCGAGGACTACATAGATGTAAGGGCATCTTGGTATTTTTCCTGAGGAGAAAAAGAAATGGACTAGACATTCAAATCATCCTTCTTATTCTGCTCTCCATGCAATGTGTTCATAAATCTGTTCACCTTGCATAAAAATGGCAACCGCAACAGGGAGATTTGACAGGGGTCACTTGCAGGACCACAGTTAAGATGCTGCTGTTTGGTACCCTTTACCCCAAAGCTCTGTCCCATTATTGTCTCTGTATCTAAATTCTGGTCAGAAGAATATTCCCATCATCCAGATGACATCCTGTCTCCTGCCAACCTTTTGGCTGGGGTAACATTTCCTTGAGGTTCTCCGTCTTGAGCCCTCGACAAACTCTGCACGACTGGGCTCGGGCTGCCTGAAACAGCAAGCTCTGCTTCTCTGCCGCGAAACTCCGTAGTACGTACCCATCACCCCTGCGTTTACCACAGCAAGACTCATAAAGATTTTTGACAGATGGTACATGGCTTCTAAACTTCAGTTTTCCAACAGAAATACCAGAAAGTGTCGGGCAGCTTCTTATTTTTCAGTTTGAAGGAAGGCTACAGATAGCGGTAGTAGCAGTCTATCACTGCAGCAAGGGCAATCCATCATATCCACTATACGTTACCCTTGGCTCCGGTTGGACACAGCTCTGTGATTTTAGCACTCCAAAGCCTCTGCATTTCTCCAGGGCAGCTCCTGTCTCTTTCTAGGGAGTCATGTTAGAAGTCCCACCTGCAGCAGGTCTTGCCTTCAGCTTTTCCTTCCAGGTAGAAAGGATTTATCTAGCAAATAGAGTCTTCTTCTGACGGGAGGGCACTGGATAAAACTCACATTCTGCGCGTTGTCTCTGCCTGCAGCAGAGTAGCTGCTTGCACTGAGGTGAGCATCAGCGGGAGCTCAGGGGTGACCTGCTCGGTTCAGCTGGACAGCAGTGGCTTGGACCAGCCGCAGGGCTACCTCCTCCCTGGGCAAGGGGCACTATGGGCTTTGGGGAGAACCTGGGGCTGTGGGGAAGGAAGGAGTTGGGGATGTGACAGCGTAAGGTAGGATTTCTGCAGTATGAAAAACAAGGTGCAAATCGTGGGCAGCAGACACGGTTCCTGCTGCTGTCTGCAAATGGTTTCTTCCCACCACACCTTAGATGAGCTGCTATGGGACGGTGGCACCACAAAGCTGTGGGGCCCACGGACCGTTTCCCTTCGCCAGAGTCCCACATGGGAGGCTGAACTCACGCGTTCACACGGCATCCTTAATGACCCGGTGAGTGGGGTGTGAGGCAGAGGTAATAATGAAGTGTGGCAGTGAAATCCCTCAGGCAGCAACTGCTGAGAAATCCCCAGCCCCGCTTCCCGCAAGAGGGGCCCTGATCCCTTCCCGTGGCGGCACCGAGCTGTCGCTGCGGCTGCGGCGCGGGATGCCAGCTGCACCGTGCCATTAGCATTCCTCATCAGCCACAGCTTATGCCTCTCTCTGTGCACGGCGTTGGAAAACCAGGTCATCCTCTTGGCTCATCCTCCTCTGATAACTCCTCTTTTCTTCCACTGCCGGGAAGCTGAGGACAGCGTAATTAGTTTTCACTAATGTTCAGCTCTACGTGCGACGGCTTTTGGCTCGAGCCAAAAATGAAGTTTTCACATAGTTCGCGTGCTCTAATAGGAGGGAGACTTGAGGCAAATGTGAGAGGCACCCATTTTCCTTGTGTTAGAATGATTCAGCCAATATTTTTCAAAAGACCACAAAGAATACTAATGACACGTTAAGCTTCCAGCACTCGCAGAACAGAGAATAAATGAGTGAGATTGCAATGAAAATACTAAGATATGTACTGACCCATGCCAGATAACAACTGGTACTGCAAGGCTGTCATAGTGAGCAACCTGAAATCATGCCCTTAATCAGAAAAACTGCCCGAAGTTATATTTAACTGCTTAGGGTTTGCAGGCGGATCAGAATCCTGATATTCCAAAGAAGCTGCAGGGTAAAATAAAAAGGAAAACGTCAACCCAAGCCCCAAAGCAGAAGTTCAGATTTTCGTAATAAGACAGTGGAATTGATGGCTTTTAAACCTGTGAGGAATAAATTTCGAGCAGAATGTATGGAGCGTGGTACAGAGAGATACAGCAACAAACTTTACTAAAGGTCAAGTGATGTTGTGCTGTGGGCAAATACACAAACATAAATGCCCATGAAGAATTATCTGGATGGTACAGTGGGGCTTGTGCATTGGCAGAGTAACTGTATCAGTAATTAAAACTGCATTAATGTGCTTGAGTGATGCTCTGAGAGTGTCACTGTAATGGCAGTCACGGCATCAACTGAAGCAACTAAGCTGTGAGAGGAAGAACGATGAGCTACAGAGACTCCTTGCCAAGAATGTGCTTAGAATTTAACATACCGGAACACTATTTAAAATAACATGATTGAAATAATAATGACGAAACCCCTGCAATATTAGTATCCACTGCAATAATTGCAAAATCAACTGGACTATATGCAGTACTTCGTGAAATGAGGTATGAAGCAGAGAGTGCATTAACAGTCAGTCGTTCACATCCCCTCATCACCAGGTGGGCTCTTTGGAAAGAAGCACACCAAATTTCAAGGTTAATTAAATTTTGTTTCGTATACCTTTGGGGGGCTGGGAAAGATCAGAGGGACCCTGAAATTGCAGTTGGAATTGGTGACCCTTCAAAAATTTAAATTCCTCTTTTGCAGTGATTTAGGTTAAAAAGTCCTATGCATGGGGTATAAGCTGTCCAAACCTCTGCGAACAGATATGGATCCGTTCATTCAATTAGGTTAAAGTTACAACTCACTGGGGGGAAAATATCCATCAGAAAAGTTTGCAGATGGAGTTAGTGGGAATGCTTGTGCTTCTGAAGCATTGGGGATCCTGGCTGCCCAAATTCAGCAGAGTAATTTTAGAGAAGCTTCATATACATTGATTTTACTATCACCATTATTCAAATAGGATTTGACCTGAAAGGCCTCACAGCAGTTAAACTCGTCATAACAACTCCAGACATAATAGAAGCCCAAGTTCAAGGTATACTTCAGATGTGTGGTGCTAAATGCAGATATAGTTGTCTTATTTTTCAGCTTCATCTCTTGCAAGGCATCAGGTTATAAACAGATCATGGAGAAATAACTCATTTTGCTGAGTCCAACCACATAATACCTGTTTCCTGAAGTGGTTAATTTAATAAAAGCTATGCCAGTGGTATCCACAACAATGTGATAATGAGTATCATCTCAATCCTCTATGTTGAATGAAAGCATTGCTTTGGTTCACAATGGGGCAATCACAATTTCATACTTATACGAGACCAATACTGAGGACATAATGGCTACAGATTACGTGCAAAGAATTAATTCAAAGAACCCCAGAACAGAAGCCCTTCTTTGAATCATTTCCAGATTTGTACCTTGAATTTTAATTGTGCTTAAAATGTAATTTGCAGCAAAGAGCATTTTACTACAACTAGGCTTTTCTTATGCATTGCAAGAAGGGAGATAAAGGAACTTCTGTGATGCTTGTAGGCCCAGATTCTCGCAGCCTACGTTCTTCGGTGATATTTAGACTATGTAAGTACGGGCAATGTAAGGGGTGGTCTGACTTGTAATGCATCTACTGAGCTGTTAGGAAGAAACCTAAACCTTGCAGCTGCCTCCTCCCATAAAACAAACGGA